TTTGTTTTACCATATGTGAATAGTAAAAGAAAGGGAAAAGTGTGGTCACGTTATAGATGCATTCACATGGATGCATTCACCTGCATTTATTGGTATGTCTGTGTACATCTGTGCTTATCATGTCTCTTGTAGCCCATCTGCTTTATCCAGAAACAAAAAGAGAGACCATGGCACCTCTGTTCTTTACATTTACATTCTCCTCTTTCACACACACACACACACCTCCCCATGAACGCTTACCTTGTCCAGGCGGCTGTGACTCAGGATGTAGAGCGGGTTGTTTGCTGATCACAGGGTTGGCGATTCGATCCAATCCTGTCCACATGTTGAAGTCTCACTGGGCAAGACACTGAACCCCAAATTGCTGTGAGTGGGTGAATGGCAAATTGTAAAGCCCTTTGGATAAAAGCGCTATATAAAAGCAGCTATCTACCATTTATGGTGAGTCACTTCTTTTTTAAATCTTATTTCCTTTATCAAAATTTCCCTAACATTATCTCAAATTATTACAATTGACCCCTGTAACTCATAAGATTTGGAGAGGACTGTTTTTCTTTACTTTCTTTATTTAAAAAAAAGTGATAAGCAATAGGGGTTTTTACACAGAGGGTCAGAACTTGAAATTGCTCAACAGCCTGCAGCTGGAGGGTCCCCATCGGAAAAGATGAATTGTATTATCTAAATAACCTTGGCTTCCAGGGTAATACTAAATGTATTCCACATGGATTCCCTGCTTTTAGAATCCAAGACAGACTACAGGAGTACATGAGGGTATAGTTCATACACTGTTTAGATACCCTTGAACACTTCTGTAGAGTCAATAGCTATAGAAACATCATTAACAGTATAATTAATGGATATAAAATGTTGATTAAATTAAATGTTTCTCTTAACTAAATAGGCCATACCTTAAAACAAACAAATGTTGTAGTTTAACATATTTTAATATTTTTTATTTTATTTTGTTTATTACTGTTCACTCGCAGTATAATGTACTGTACCTTCTGAATTTTCTGCCTCTTCAGTTGATCTTGGTTTATGGGCACACATGACAGTATTGAGATATGTGTGCGCATGTGAGGTTGTGTGTGGTGGGTGTTAATAGCTTTTGAAAAGGTCAGGGAGCACAAATTAGGTAGCACAGAGAAAAGAGAGTGTGGAATGAAAGACAGAGAAAATCTGGACAGAATGCTTTTAGAGGTTTGACAAAATCTTTCAGCGGCATGACCAATACTCATCATCAATCATTAGTTACAGGTATGAAAACCCAGTTACTGAAATGCATAAATCTTATGAAATATGTGAATTTAACACCTGGATTAAAGAATCCAGGTGTTCGACAAGTCTTTATACTGACTTGAATACAACCAAAATGTTATTTAGGCTAATTAGTTTTCATGTTCTTTGATGAATGAGAGAGAAGTCTAGGAAGTTTGTTTTTTTTCTTCCTCCCAGCACTAATAGGGCTTTCAGTAAGATCATTACACCAAAAAAGCTCTATCCTCGCTTTTTCCATTTGTTTCCTCTTCCTCACAAAATAATCTCCAAAACCATCTGCACTGGGAGTAAAATTACATGTTGCCTAGCTCTCTCTTTCTGTCATCTAAACCTGTCTTTATGTCTGTCCTCAAAGCTCCTATAAAATCACACAGGAAGCGAAAGCTGGGAGGAAAAAACAGAACACTCAAACGTAAGAGGCTTGTGGACAACTCAAATGCACTCAGAGAGGCCATTAATAAAAATAATTAGCACAGGAGATGGGCGGAAAAAACAGGGGCCAGCTTGGCTGATGTAAAATCTCATTTCTGTTATTTAATTTATCAGAGACTGAAGCAGGAAACCCACCAATCATTTTGTTAGAGCACAGAGCTCCTACAACAGGCATCTCTATTCTGGAAGGACATACACGTACACACACATAAATACACACAGATCCCATCATCAGCCAAAGGGGGGCAGAGGGGTCATTAGTGGAGGAAGAAGATCAGATATCACCAATTCATCTTGGTCAAAATGATTAGAGAGACACAGAGATCCAGAGGGATATATAGACGGGTGGTTCTGTGCATTCCTGGTTTAATGTACTATTGCGATCTTGGACTCATTAATCAAACACTAGTGGACACACACCCATGAAACGTTTCACACACAGTTAAGGTTCAAGTTCAGAGAGGTCAAAGTGATTATCGTCACTGTAAGTCACAGAAGTCTGTGGCAAACTGCAGCTTGTGTTAGAGAGTCATCATTTAAGTCTACATTCTGTGGCAACACACATGACATAAACAAGCAAGTTTCTTACAGTGGTAAAAAGATGAGAGGTATTCTAGAGTCCTCTACTCGAGCCAGTACCTGGAGCTGTAAATAGCTAACGGACAAATGGACATTCATTCAGTCTTGCCAATTATTCTAAACAGGTCAATGTTAGAAAAACTGGATGCTGCGACTTATTCACTTCTTTGACAGTAGCTCACTGGCCGCATACACCAAGACCAGACTTCCATTAGAGTGCTTGTCCGCCTCAGCCAGTTGAGAACATGCACGTTAGAGATTTCCTCTGGTCAAGCTGACTTCCTGTTGGTTCTCCACACTTTGAATGAATGGGATGGAGATTTTATTTGATTGAATGCACTGGATTTTGATCATACATGAGTAGTATAAGTAGAATATTGAGTATCTGCCAATACCAAGTCCTGATCCGATACTTGGATTTTTTTTAGATAATACAGTGCACACTTCAAGTACATTAAAGTTATTAAAATCAATCCAGTGCTTGATAATAGCTCTTGCATTGCATTAAGAAGCAAAATGCTTCCACTGAACCGGTTCCTTAATGGTTTTTTTTCTTCCCTGTAATCTTTTTGCCTCGTCACTGTCTGGAGGGAGTTTCTCTCTCCAGTGTTTGGTGCTTCGATGCCTCCTTTACCTAAGGTAACCTGAATAAACTGTTTGTATACTGTTGAGATTTTATTTCAGTTGTCTCTAAATCTTTTGCGCAAAGTACATTAATTAATTACTCTCATTGGCTTTTTGTTTGCAGGACTTTTGTTGCACTTGCACTTGCGAGTGTGGCTGTGTCAGATCTCTACCGCTCTCTCCTCCAAGCACAGGCAACACCCGCCCGCGGTACAACTCCACATTCGGGAGGGCTGCTCCTGCTCTCTCTCACACAGTATTGTGGCAGAAAGAAACAGCAAGAAAGATGACGATAGCTGCACCATGCATGAAAGCTTTGTGAGTAAAAACAGCTGTATGGCAGCTGGCGTAAAACAAAAGATCGGATCGGATCAACACAGCTAAACATAGCCGATACCGATTAGTTAAAAAATGCTTTGATTGGTGCTGATGCCGATCATTGACATCCCTATACATGAGTCATTTCAGGATGGTTGTTACAAATATTTGCCCAATTTTACAGATACTTCTTTTGTCATGATTATGTATGGGTAAATGTATTTTTGGGCCAGTATAAATCACGTCATCCTGTTATATCTCCAAAAACTCATCTGTTCCTGAGGGTTTGGTCAACCTGCATTATCTGATGTGCTCCTGACCTGCGCTAAATGCTCTTAATACGATAATGCTCCAGTTTGGGTGCGCACATCTTTTATAGATGAGAATTTAGTTTCAGTGAGCAGACATTTACACAATTACTCAAATGAAACAAGCTAAAAAGACGAGATAACGACATAGTGTGCATCAATTGAGAAAGAAAAACAACTGAAACTGCAACAATTCTCTATGAATATGAATGCACGTGTTAAAGCAAACCATTACAAAGGTCTACAACCTATATCATACACCGGTCCCTGTATGGAAAGGGTATAATACATCATCATACAAGTCAAGTTCATATCCCAATATCACATACAACAGCTCCCAACCAGGCCTAAGCTTTCAAAGCTCTTGAGAAAACACAATGGGACTAACAAGCAGAAGGCTTGTTTGTCTCTTATCTCAGCAGTCCTTTTGTGTAATTTTCAATAGGCTAATCATTCAGACAACACCAAGTTAAAAAAATAAACAACTGAAGCAATTTTATTATCTTAAACAGAAAACAGGGAAAAAGCCTATCACAAGCACAGGCTACTCACTTTTTTAAGTCCAAAAGTACAATAACCTCACCTTAAGTAGCCAACTTAAGAAAACTCCAAGGGACACCTGTTAGTTTGTTATCTCATTAGGCCCTTTGTGCAATTTTGAAAAGATTCATCTCGACAATGGTGAACTAACATAATATAAAAGCAAGAGAAAAACAGGCACAAACCTGAGCTATTGAAAGTATGGGGCTTGTTCAAATCAAAAGTCAAATTAAACTTACCTTAACAATGAGACTCAAGTAAACACGCTTCATCTCAGTCCAATCATCATTTTGACAATAACACAGATTGTGGGTATTTTGATTTGTAAAGATATTTGGAAATACAATGAGTGACAAAAAGGAACTTCAGATTGTGTTATATTGAGCACCTCTTGCCAACCAGAAGGAGAAGTTGGCTACAAGCTGTCATTTATGGAACTCTCAGGGTGCACACGTGACACACACAAAAACACAAAATGGCACTGCAACAACTAAACAGACAAACACTGCCACATGTGGAATCCAATAATACATGTAAGCCGTGTCAGCGTTGCACTCTTGATGCTTCAGTACTGCAGCACTCCAACCGTGCATTGTACTGTAGCTGACAAAAGACTCCGCTATTCTGCAAAACCCAGTGTCAAATATTTTGCTGCTGACTTGGATCAGTTCAGAAAATTTAAAGTTAGACTGCTAATTATAATATGAACATCTATGAACTGCACCAAGGAGATCCAGCTAACATTACTTTATTCTGTGTGAAACTTTTCAATAATATTTTTACTGTTTACAAGTCTCATAAGGGCTGGGTCGTAAAATCAAATGAGTCCTAAATCATGGTTGTGACTGTGGGTAATAATGGTTATCACAATAATGTTGAAGGTTGACTGCAACAAAGGGACAGTGATTGAAAGTATCCTACCGTGGTCTGTGATTTTACAAGACACAAGATAGAGCTCCTTCAGACTTCTCCCCTCCTTGGCGATGATTTCCACACACCTACAGTGAGACACAAGGAAAGAACAACTGTTTAAAGTGTCACCTGAGGCATCTGTGTTCTGCATATTGCATTTCAATTTAGCTTGAAGGCAATTTGGACCTGTCAAAAGAACTGAAATGCATACGCATATACAGCAGCTTTCTGTCTTTTCTCTTAAATTCCCTCTGTTACAAACACGCACACAGGATTATTCCGCAGTAAAGGTTAAACAGTACAGCTGCAGGGTCATAACTGTTCACATATCCTGCCTCTGCTTCTTTTAACACACACATTAATAATTAAACACCTGATCTGATTAAAGAAGCATGCACTAACACAGCAGGAGTGTATGTGTGTGTATTAGTGCATGTGAGTGCGTACTTAGACACACACGCACACACACACATAGTAAGCTTGCTCACTTCAAAGAGGGATATCTGCATTCAGCCCGGTGCCTGAGCCCAAAGGACTTACAGAGTGTGTGTGCGTGTGTGTTTTAGAGAGAGAGAGAGAGAGTATACACCAGGGAGGACTAAGGGAAAGATCAGAGTATCTGTATCAAATGATTCTCTTTAAATGCCTCTAATGAGAGGAGTGTGTGCAACAACTAGATTTTGATCAACGCATTTGACCTATTAACCTTCAGGAGAAAATGTTTTGATCTTTATGCTGGTGTTCTATCATGAATATTTATGAGACAAAAAAGACAAGCATACACAGACACACACACACACACATTAATGTGAAAGCAGAGATGGGCAAAAAAGTTGTGATGCTGAGAGGTCTGCTATTGAGCTTCATGTCAAAGTGAAAACGGGGAACAATATTGAGTTTTGGTGCTCGTACACTTTCACGCAATCTGACTGGGGTTATTCTGAAAAGCATTGCTCATATTCACTCACTACCCTCTGGCTTATCTCACTACAGGCTAAGTGTGATGCGCGAGAACTTGTTGAGAGAATCAGAGCTTCTTTTCTTTCATGTTTTTTGATACCGCGTAGCGACTGTCTAGCAAACAAGAGCGTAAATGGGACGCAGATCAACAGAATTCAGTACAGCGACATTTCCTCTCGAACAATGCATGATTTGTAAGCTTAGTGTGTTTGCTCCAGAATTCATTTGAAGTGACACAATGCATGGATTTCAGTTGACGTGTGACATATCACACTGTTGGATCAAGGAGGAAAAGGTGCTGGTGAGAGAAAAGTAAAAATGTGTGTCATATTTTATCCAATAACATCCTTATTTCTGAGTGGAGCCAAAATTGTTAAAATGTGCATTGACCTGTCTGCTTAAGTTCACTGGGCATATTTCACATTTTCTATTAAATTGTGTTGCCCTGTGAGCCTCTCCATGTTATCAGGTTGTACTACTATTTCATTGTCCTCCCACATCTCCCTGTTTATATTTCTCCCTGCCTTTTAATCCATCCCACCCTTCTTCCTTTTTCTATCTTTTTCTCTCTCTGTGGCCCACATAGGGAAAAAAATTATGTTGTAAAAAAGACCTGTTGTAATTGGTCATTCCTGACCCAACCTTGTGCTGTGGCCGGCCTTTAGATTACATTCAGTTAAGCCAGCGGGATCACACTATCATGCTGTGTGTCTTGGGGCTATGGCATTAGAGCTGCTAATGAATGAATGCACTGGGAAGAGTTGGTGAGGAAACAGAAAAAAAAGGAAGTAGCGATTCAGGGATGCAGCGACGAAGGCCAAGGCGGAGAGCCTCCTCTGGGAGCTTGTTACACTGTGCCCAGGGTCAGAGCAAAAGCAATTAGATCAGACATCAATGAATGAGGGAGGGAGTGAGGAGAGGTGGAAAGCGAGTATAGCAGGAAACAGAGTGAGTAGAAATCTCTGTACAGTAGCTAGAGGTTGAACAGAGGCAGAAGGGGTACATCATGGGAGACTGACAGAGCTAAGGAAAACAAGGGAGAAAAAGAATAAAGAGTAAGAGGCCTTAATAAGGCCGGAGTGAGGTGAAATAAGAGGATTCAGGAGACAGCAGAGGAGACGAGGGAGGACAGAGCAGAGCTGTGGGATGTGATGGCTAAGGCCTGGTTCACGCCACATGAAAGGCCTTCAAGAAGCAACAAGCTCCCACCCACCTCCACTCAAACCCCACAAGGCCCAGCTGACATGAATTAGTGATCTGCTCGCTTTCAATAATGTACAGAGCCTGTGACAAAAGCCCCAGACGGACGCGGTGCGCATACTGAAGATTTAGCTATGCGATGCTACAGGAGACAACGCTGAGAGGTGAACATTAGGATGCAGAGTGGAAAGAGCAAGTCAACAGCGTGGCAAGGTGGTTGAGCAGGAGAAGCTGCTGGTGGTGATGAAAAAGGGAGGAATAAGCAGTGAAAGGTAGGATGAAGAGAGGAATGAGGGTCTTTGTAGAAAGAGGAAGGAGTAATATGGAAAAGACTGATGAAAAGAGGGGCAATGCGGCTGATGCTGGTGTGTGGGATGGAGGATTAGGAAAGGAGCATAGAAGTAAGAAGTGATGAAGTGACAAAGAGACACAGTAGAATCATGATGATGAGGATACAATATGAGATGCAGGGATAGAAATAGGGTTGAGGAATGAAAACAAAGGCTGGGAGACGTGTCAGAAAGTCGGAGGGTAGAGATTCAGGAAACAGTCAAATAAAAAAAGTGAAGTGAAGAGAGGATAAGTGGAGGAGGAAAGGAGGCAGACGGTACAAGATGACAAAAATGAAGGGTAAATTGAGGGGAAGGTTAATTAGGATGATTTAGAACAATAACAGAAAAATGAGCAAAAGGGAAAGAGTGCAAGAAGATGAGAGGTAAATGACGATGACAAGTGAAAAAGGCGAGAAAGTCAAGCAAGTTGTCGAGGGCGGAAGATGCTCTCACAAATATTATAGATGCATACAAAAGACCAGTGAAAGCCTTTTGTTACAGTTATAGCGAGCTAATATACAGCTCAAGGCCACTTTTTCCAATAAAATGACAATAAAACAGTTACCATGACAACTAAAGGACTGCATGTTTAAGCGATTAATGTAACCGGCAGGAAGGAGGGAGAGAAAGGACCAAGGGAGCGAGCCTCATCAGGGGTCAGTGTGTGTTTGGCTCACTGTCACCGCGCTGTCGGCACAAACAGCTAGAGGTAAACAATAAAACTGTCACTCCGCGCTCTATCTCATTCTTTCAGTCCCATACAAACAAAATGAAACTTTGGTTCAGTTCTTGGCATGTCTGGGATTCGGGGGAAATTTCTCTTCCCTAAACACAGTCATACACACATTTTCTATCTAAATTGAATTACTGAACCCACACAACTGGACCTTGAGGACTTTGCTTAACCCTAAAACATCTTTTATGTTTTATTTTATTTTCTTGCCAGCCAGCTAATGCTGCCTGCCAAAGAACTTAGCCTTTGTTCAACTCCACACGGAAGGGCAAGAGGCTGAATTATAGTAAAAAAAGAAAAAAAAAAAGATTTGGTCTTAACTGATATAACACATCTTCTACTTGAAAGAGAGAGAAGGTTGTAACTCAGTAACCAAGGTAACATTCTGTAGAGTATTCATAACAAGTAACAATTTAATAATCTCTCTAAAACATTTTAAAGAGGTGCAAATGCAGCTATATATTTTCATAACATCAGGAGAAAAAATACAGTAATTTGCATTGGTGATACATAATTGTTCTTCCCTTAGAGTTTTTAAGAAGAAAATTCAATTATGTTACTTTGAAACCATGGTAACTACATCACTGCTAATTTATCTTGTGATTAATGAAAGCATTTTCCCGGGTCTTTACATGTAAATGAGGCCCAAAGGTATGACAAGCTAAGTAGTGTAGATTAAGGTGGAAATGCCACTCACTGAGGAGCCTAGACGTTTTTTTTTTTTAAACATTCGTTTTTACTTTCCAGAATTAAATTTGCTTTTGGGCCATATTTGCCCAACCACTGCTCATTGCCATTGCAAAACTCCAACCAGTACATTAGCCCAGAGAAAATTATTTTAGGTTTTAGGAACTACTGTGGCCTGATTACTACTCATTTCTATAAAGCAAATAAAATGGGCATAGTTCATTTTATTAAAATGTTATGTATATGCACTAAAGAGCATTATTGTAAAGAGCTTTTTTTAATAACTTTGAGAAGCTCTTGAATAATAAAAGGAAAATGCTACACCAGCATCACCAGTGGGAATAATTCATATTTATACTATACTGAAGGTTAGGAAAATGGACTTTCATGTAAAGGCCAACATAGTGATGTTCACCTTTGTCCTTACAGCACAGAGCTTCAGTGAGTCATCAACACCTCAGAAAACCAGCAAAGCCTTTTTTAAAAACATTACTCTGTCCATCTGCTGTAATAAGGGCAATTTTACAGCCTTGACCAGTGTTTGAAACATGAAAGAAAGAAAAAAAAAAAGAGGAATAGCACTTAGAAAATCATCGAGCAAACAGCAGATTACCTCTTCTATCTCAGCTCTCTGCTGTGCTTAAACGCTGCCTTATATGACAACTGGCCTTTGACTACATTTTATTTGTGTGCGTGAGTTTTGTTGTACAACCAGAGGTTAAACCTTGACAAAGCCTAGCGATCAGCCCTTAATCCCAGCTCACTGTTTGATCAATCTTAATCTCTTCTACAAGCTTGTTACCGTGGTCATACTTTAAATTAGAAACCTTTAATGGTTATTTAAGATTTATATTGTGCGATGTAGGCTCATTCTTGTTATTTTTAATTTCTATTTATTTAGTATTTTTTGATTGGCATCCTGTTAATAAAATAGTCTAATTAAACAAAACTCTAGAGCGTGTTTTCAGTATCCAATCTGCTGTTAGCATCCATCTACAGAAATCACTCAAAGTATACTGTGTATTGGTGCCCGGTTAGCTCAGTCGGTAGAGCTGGCGGGCCCGGGTTCGAATCCGACC